CCCAGTTCCAGACTGCGCTCCAGGCGGGGTCCCCGGGCTCGCGCCCCGCGCTGCTCACCGACAACTTCCGCCCGCAGCAGCCCCTCGGGGGTCGCAGGGTCGCGGCCTCCCCTGGCGCCTCTATCCACGCGGCAGCCCCGCGCCCCGCCCGGGCCGGCCTGCTCACGCCTCTGCTGGGCCTGGTGCTCGGCCCGCGGCTCCTGCAGGGGTATTAGATCCAGGCCCCAGGCCTTCCGCCAGTGGGTCCTGGGCGCACTGTCTCCTCCAGGAACAGAGAGATTCCACACCTACCAGGTGCCGCTCCATACAATAGGGACCCTCCCTGCCCCACCGCAGCCAGCCTCAGACACCCCTCTAAAACTGCCCACCCCGGAGCCCTCCCAGGGACTGAGCATGGCTGGATCCTCTGGTCAGATGGAAGGACGAAAGCTAACCAGGCCTTATAGACGCCACCATTAGTGTGAGATTTCACCTTTCTGTAATTTTTATTTAACACTATTTTATTGTGATTCCAGTAAAGGTTTGCACTTACACGTTGTATTTTAATGAAGAAGTCTGGTTGATGGCCCAAGGTGTGTGTTGGGGGTAAGTGAGGGCTATAGGCCGTCTCCCCCAGACGCTGGGAGGTGTGGAGTTGCTGGTTCCAGGCGCTTGCATTAAGCCCGCGTGTCCATGGTGGAGCCATGTCCAGGGGACAGTCACAGGAGCTGGGCAGTGGAGTTTGCAGGCTGCCAATTTCTGGAGAGACCTTGTGGTGAGGCCGTGTGAAGAAGTGAGCGTCCTTCATGCCACTACCCAAAATGAAAGCCCGGTGCTGTGGTCACTGACCAGCTCTGTCTGGGTGCCACTGTCCTCTGAGCGCATGGGTCGGCTGGCCATCGCTGGGGGGCTGTCAGTCGTTAGCTTGTGCGTCCAGTTAACGACCTGTGGAATGTGGCAGTATATCAGGGTGACACTGCTGAGTGAGGCTGTGTCCACGTGCCACTCACTGTCCCCCGTGTACGTGCTTGGGGTTTGGGTGAACCTCTATTCCTGTCCATGGAGGCATCCTCCCCAAAACACTTTAGGAAAGGAATTTGCAAGCCCCTGCCCTGAGGCACAGCAGTTACCCGCAGACCTCCGGGCTCCCCCGAGCACTCCCCGGGCAGGCCCGCCCCTCCTCCAGCCTGCACTCGGCTCC